AAGCACATTCTGTACCTATGAAGAACGATGCTGAAATATTAAACTTAACTAAGGGTAATGTGCAAATACTTCAAGCACTGCAACATTTTGTTGTTTTGTTAAAGACGACAAATCGTTAATGGAGATATAATTATTCAAGTCAAATAATTACGCAGCAAAATTACGAAAATATTTATTTCTATTACGTTTTTTTTCAATTACTACAGAAAGTATAATAGAACTAGTTCTGAGAGTTATACATAGTACTGCGGATATCCTGTTAATTTATTATCTTTAGAACGAATTAAAATGATAGTGTGGCTAAAGGAAATATTTATTTGAAATGTAAAGCACTACAGAATTTCTCTACTGTAATATGTAAAGTCTATAGTTATAGAGGAAAAAAAAATCTTTCTTCACCGTAACTTTATATGTTTGCCATTCGATATGATTAATACCCCCCCTTTCCCCCTAAATCGGTGACTTAGTCAGTACCGTATTTCCAGAATATTTTAATTAACATTTAAAAAAAAAAAGCTACGGTCTTTTTTAGAACAAAAATTTCAGTCTCAAAACAAACATGCATCTAAAATAGTCACAAAACAATAGTAGATCAAAATGTACACGTGTCGGCGGTGGTATTTGAAATTGGCAGAGAGTATGTTTCACATTCAAGTGTCAATGCCCAATGTATTTTACTAATTTATTATTCAAATGTTGGAATCAAATCTAGAAATGATAAAAATATATGTTATAACTTGTTGGAAATACTCGCACTTCGTCTTATTAATTATCTGTATTTAGTAAAAACGTTACAAATGTATATGAAAGGAAGTAAGATTGAAAATGTGTAGGCAGTTTATAAATCAATATGTCTGAGTGTTAATATAATTATGTAAAAGTGTGAATAAAATTTATGAATTAAAAAAATATGAATTATTGTGTACAATTCCATAATATATAAAATGTATATAAAAAAGAAATCAATAAAATTATCATACCACCCCTCCATCTTCAGAAAACCAACCTCGTTATTTGGATAAGAGTCATACATATGAAAGACAAATGTAGTAATGTTTGTCTATGAAAATTGATCCCACCCGACCCCCTTTTCAGAATCCAGAAATCCTATGTATTTTGCAACTGATTTATTTGAATTGTTCCGTTGTCTAACAGGTTCATGCTAATTATTAACATTGACTAGCATGGTGCAAATTACAAGCATATATAATGCAACCTTTACAGAAGATAGGATGTACATGTGTGTTAATCTACTATGTATCACTTATTCAGTAGTAATACATAAACTTTTGTTATTTTTACAGCTATAGATAGTAGAAGTTGACATTCTGTTCCTAAAAAACCACTGGAGGAAATTTATCTTGTTTCGAACCATTATTAAAAGATAATCCTGTTTTACCATGTTCCAAATCAGATGCTACACATCTGTCTAATAACCACATAATCCCCAGAAGTGAATCTGAAGGAATGGAGGATAGCATGTGTTATGTATTTTTGCATGATATAGACAGTTAATACATGTATGTGCCCAAATCACAGGCAAAACTTGGACTTGGTTGGATTTTTTGTATTGTTTTTGAGTCTCATGTGTGTATAAACTGAATATTAAATGATCTAATATAATAACTTTTGAAAATTCTTTTTGTATTTTTGAGCTATTAGGAAATGGGTGTTGCAAGAATATGTAGCCACTTAAATTTATTTTTGGTTCTTAAGATTTCCCAGTTGGGGACTTGGAAGAACAATCTGATTCCATTAATTTTCTTAAGGAGTAGTTGTCAACAGTTGAAGCACTATTCATGTACTTTAAAGAAACCTTCTCCATAAAAAAGAAAATTGAGGATTTTACAAAAGGGGCAAATTATATTTTTCTTCATTTAATTTATTAATTAAAATAAAACAAGGGGGGGGGGTATGCTGAACTCTAAGATTTTTTTTACTCAATGTGGTCGAATTAATATTTGTTGAATCATTTTTGTCTAAATAGACGTTGACTTCAGTTCAATCTGATGTGAAGAGGTTGACTGATATAAGCAGAGGGAGGAAATGAAATAGATTTTCCATTGGATTCCTCTGTAAGTGCTTTCAGTAGTGTATTTATGGAACTATTGAAGGAGAAATTTTTAAAGGGGCATTAACCATAGCTGTACTTAGTAGGCTTTTCTGTCAAAAAAATATTGTTGTTGTTAACTTCTGCATTTTCATCTTTTAATTTACTGAAAATACCATTGGACCATGTTTCACACCGAATATCCTTCAGTAAAGGGGCATATTTCAAGTTTGTTCAAATAAATGACCGAACTCCTTCCCAAGAGGAGATAATCAGGAAAAGCCTAAAATAGGGTGGTGTCATTTACATTTACATAAATCTTAAGAAAAAGATGATGCAAAAGCTTCCTAATATATCAAATAATGGCCATTGGGTTTAGGGTGAAACCACAACAGGGAATCAAATTATATAAAAACAGTGGAGCCAGGATTTGTCATAATATGCAAGGAATTCTCGGGCAGTGCAGATTTCATGGTGTACTAATCATTGACCCTGGGGCAAAGATGAGGCTAAAATGGAGACTAAATGAGAATACAGTACACATTTTCAGATATTCTTTTCAAGAATAGCAAGATCGATATCAAACTAAATCATAGTGTCACAGGGTGAATTATAATTAATTAATTCTACTAATTATCATTCATATCATATTCATACATTTGTCTAAGGCATTATATTATTATAGTAACTAGTGAATTCCGTTCTCACTACGGAATTTACTACGTTCATTCATTGCCTTATTCATTCATTCATTCATTTATACGGGTGAGTGGTCAGTGAGAGTACGGGTGTGTGAGTGGTCAAACTGGTTTTATTCTGTCCCCTGCGCATTCGCGTCAATACTAATTCTCAAGCACTCCAACCTAAGACTTTGGGGAGAGAAGACGCTCTCTCTCCCCAACACAACTTTATCTCACGATAATTGTGAACTTCAGTCTAGGAATTACGGTAAGAAATAGTGGTAAATTATTTCTAAGGATTCAATTATTATTCAATATCTATTTGATCATTTTATTCAAATCGAGTATTTTCTAAATTATCCAAATTTATAAAATTTAAATTATGATCCGCGTAAAAGTGTGAGTGAGGCGAGAGATATTTAATACCTGTTGTTATATTTCAGGTCACCCTTCCATCTATGTTATAAAATTCCACAATCGTAGAATATATATTATATATAAACATCGAACCCAGCAGTCGTGTTGTGTTGTATTTTACCACATATTTAAGGCTGTGACAATGGCGCCCAACGTGATTAATAATTTCTACGCTGGAATTTTCATTTTTTCATAAAGTCTAAAGGGTGATTCGTATTTATATCATCGTTGGAGTTCTTCATTTGTTCATCATTTTAAAAATGTCCTTTGATTGCTGTTATTTATTATTCAATTCAACTGTGTCTTCATCTGTTCATCTGTTATATTGAATTGGACCCGCTCGAGCAGAACTGAACGCTGATCACCAAACCATTCAATACTTCATTCATCGTGCGTGACTTTTACAGCTGTTACTATATATACACCGATAGGCCTGCACCGCTGGAATGCGTTTCCCATCTAGACATTTCGCGTGCCATCCAGGATTCATGTTCCAGGGACTGTGACTTTCTCTATAGATTTATTCTATTGACTGTTAATTTTCAATTCATTTGTTTAATATCGTATATTTCTGTCATTGTTTATTTTCATGTATACACGTGTGTGAAGTGTGTGCGTGTATGAGAGTGTAAAACTTAAATAACTTAATTCAGTTGAAATTTAGTACACAGTCAAGTGGCATTACAGTTTTAGTGACAAGTTAACATGTCGGCATGCGCTAACATCTTTATTGCACTCTATTAACATTCTCTTATTTTTCAAAGCAGAGGAAATTCGAGTGAACAGGTGCGCGTTAGATTGTGACAGTTTCAGTCATCATTTAGATCGTTCATTTCATTCATCATAGTTATGAATTAACAGTGCTAATATTTGACTAAATTTAAATTGTACAGTGTATTTGTAATAGAACATAACAAGACTTACAGACTACCAGCTGATACACGGTCTACATTACTTCGTTCTATTATTTCAGATTACAAGATACGGGTGTAGCAGTTACAAAGAAATATTAATTTCTATTTTCTTTATTACAGATTACAAGAAATCAACAGATTTAAACCAAAATTTACTTTTGTATTTAGTTTATATTTTGTTGTTTTAAGAGTTTAATTCACTGTAATTAGCTTTGATATTTAATGAGTAATAGTAAGTTACAGAAATATTTAGATAGACCAGAAGAAAAGAAGAAATTAGTTAGTCAACCTGTATTAGTTAGTACAAGTTTGGGTAACTACCTGAAAAAAACTTCTAGTCTTTTAAAACAATATCATTTATTTTTGCATTTTGAATGTAGACCTGGTGCTCGATTTACAGATTTTTATTCATAGTTAAATTAAAATTTACGTGCTCTTTTGGACCAGTACGGCCATTTGACGTAGTATGATTGGCTTCGTAAAGGCGAAATCAAAAGAAAATCTGGTAAGTTTATTTCTTTAGTTTCTGAAAGTCTTTTGTGGAGAATGTTGTTCACTATATAGATAGTTTTTATTCAATTGTCAAAGAGTTTCATTTAATTTCAATTTTATTTGGATGGAGTTCATCCGGGTCAAATGTTAACCAGAACGTGGTTAAAAAGACTTATAGAGAACATTTTTGTACACGGTTCTTAAATGTCTTAATATATACAGTGTTATTGATACATTACTGCTCATCTGGGAACAGGTATCTGTTGGCAGGGACTGACCCATTCACAGAAATCATACCTGTTACTCAATACACTGTATCATAGATTTATTCATGTACATAGTATTACACTGTTGGGTTTGTATTGGTAGGGATTGACCCAATCATACTTTTATACCTAATAAGTTGTAAATTTACTATTACATGTGATACTGTCATTATTTTACAAAATGGCAGAAGCAGGTAAAAAAGAACAAAAGATACCATCAGACAAGGCAGGAAAGGTGAGGATACTGATGCAATCTCTATACAGCATCATATTTCTGAGGTACAGAAAGACCCCAACTACAGAGTGTTAACTAAAGAGGAATATGACGTTTTAGTAAATGCTAGTTTAAAGCAAAGCAACACTAGTACCCCCTTGGGTAAACCAAATATGTCACCAATGGCAAGACTCTTAAATAGTAAACCATTAAATTTTGACTTCCCCAAAACACCAGATGTCCCTTCTACCCCTACATGTACAATCAGCACCCAATACAACTTTCCAAAATTACCAACATTTAGTGGTGCTGATGATCCTAAACAAGGTGAGGTCAAATATGAAGTATGGAATTTTGAGGTCAAGTGTATTCAAAATTCAGGCCAGTACCCTGAGCACATTTTGCTCCAGTCTGTAAGAAATTCATTAAAAGGGCTTGCCCGATCAATGTTAGTTTCTATTGGAGAAAATGCTTCTCTAAAAGATATTCTAACCAAACTTGATGGATTTTTTGGAAATGTTGCTTCAGGGGAAACTCTTATGCAATCTTTTTATAATGATATGCAAAAAGAGGGAGAATCACTTGTAGTGTATGCTTCTAGATTAGAGGATACTTTATCCAAAGCTATAAAAGTTGGCTATATAGATGCCGTTGCAAAAGATGCTATGCTTAGAAGTAAATTTTGGACTGGTTTGTACAATGTACAATTAAAACAAAGTACTAGGTATTTATTTGATTCAATTAAAAACTTTGAACATCTTCTTAGGGAAATTAGAAAAGTACACCAGGAAGAATGATCAACTCCTGTGAGAAAGACACAGAAAGTATTCCAACAGGCTGAGATAGCAGAAACAACAGACTTACAAAAGGAACTTCAGAAATTGACATCAACAATGCAAAGATTAGAGAGCAAAATTGACAGTAACTCTCAAAGTTTTCAGCAATTAAGCAATAAAGTTAATCAGTTGGAAAGAAATGTCAAACCAACAAAGTCCAAATTTTATTGGGTCAGGTAGAAGTAGAGCAAGAGGATTTGGTTTTTGTGGAAATTCTAGTAGAGGCTATGTTCGCGGACGAGGTCAAATTCGGGGTCAAGGTCATTTCAATGTAAATTAGAACAACCGAATTCGGTCAAACAATCAAGTGCCTCAAAAGAGTAACAATTCAACAAACTAGTAACCTCTTCTATTAAAGGGCAAATGGGGGAGGAATCTGTAAATAAGAGCCCTGAACAAAATTTGTTGTCAAGAATGGTGGGTCATTCAAATGAAAGTAGAATCATTATAAATGGTGTTGAGACAGAAGCTTTAATAGATACAGGTTCTATGGTTACTTGCATGTCAGAAGAGTTTTACCATTCATTGAGTCATAAACCTGAACTTCACAGTATTGCAGATTTTGAGTTGAAAGTATATAGTGCTGAGGGTAGTACTTTGCCATATTCAGGTTATGTTGAAGTAGAGTTTCAAGTACCTTTTCTGTCAAAAGAATCATTCTATTTACCAGTCTTAGTTATGAAAGGAACAGAATACAGTAGTAAAGTCCCAATAATTGTTGGTACTAATATTATAAGACTGTGTAAAGAATATTCTAAGTGCATAGAAACAACTATTCCAGATGAATGGGAATTAGCTTTTATAAATTTAAGCCTTGATAGTGATATGCCTGTCAAAAGCACAAATAAGTATCCCATTACAGTAGCACCATACGAGGTGAAAACAATTTCTGGTTTAGTTAAGACCATGGACAAGGTAAAAACTGCTATTACAGAGCAAATTAATACAAATCAAAATGGTAGCCTTTTGATATGTCCAAGGGTTGTTACAATGAAAAGTTGAAAAACTTGTAGAGTACCTGTTCGTGTCTGCAATATGTCAGCACAACCAATTAAAATAGCACCAAAATCTGTCATTTGTAATGTAAGTGCTGCAAAAGTGGTTGATACTTTAGATTCACCATTGTTAGATTCCAAGGACCATAGTTCATTTAATCTTGTGGATGCAGGTATAAAGGTTGATCATAATAACTTAACCCCAGATCAATCAGAAGAGTGTCATAATTTTCTTAACAAGTGGAAACACATCTTTTCTACATCTTTCAAGGACATAGGGAGAACTGATCTAGTTGAACATGAGATTAAATTAACAGATAATATTCCTTTTAAAGAACCATACAGAAGGATTCCACCAGCAATGTTTGAGGAGGTAAGGCATCATCTTAAAGAAATGCTAGATGCTGATGCTATTAGAAAATCTAAGAGTCCTTATTGTTCAAACGTAGTACTAGCCAGAAAATCAGATGGTTCACTTAGATTTTGTATTGATCTCAGGAAGTTAAACAACAAAACTATAAGAGATGCATATAATCTTCCTAGAGTGGATGAAACAATTGACACTTTAATTGGCAGTAAGTATTTTTCTAAGTTAGACTTAAGATCTGGTTATTGGCAGGTGGAAATTAAAGAGGAAGACAAACATAAGACTGCATTTTCGCTTGGTCCACTTGGTTTTTATGAGTGTAACCGTATGGCATTTGGCTTGACTAATGCGCCCGCTACATTTCAGCGGCTAATGGAAACTTGCATGGGTGAGATGAATCTTAAGGAATGTTTGATATTTCTAGATGAAATACTTGTATTTTCATCTACTTTTGAAGAACATTTAGAGAGATTGCAGGGTGTTTTCAAGCGATTAGAAAAACATAATTTGAAATTGAAACCCTCGAAATGTGAATTCTTTATGTCAGAGGTCAAATATTTAGGACATATTGTGTCTGAGAAAGGTATTCAAACAGACCCTGATAAAATATCAGCTTTGAAAACATGGCCTGTCCCTAAAAATATCAAATCATTACGATCTTTCTTAGGATTCACTGGTTATTATAGGCGTTTTGTTAAGGACTATGCCAAAATTGTAAAACCCCTAAATGATTTATTAGTGGGTCACCCTACAAACAAAAGAGCAAGCAAGTCAAAGAAAAAGAAAGTACCTTGGATTTGGGGTAAAACAGAACAAACTGCTTTTGATTCCCTAATAGAAAACCTCACGTCACCCCCTATTTTAGCCTATGCAGACTTTTCCCAACCTTTTATTGTAAATATTGATGCTAGTAGGGAAGGTCTTGGCGCTGTTTTATACCAGAATCAAGGAGGGTTAGACAGGGTTATAGCTTACGCAAGTAGGGGATTGCGCCCCAGTGAATGCAATTACCCCGCCCACAAATTGGAATTTTTATGCTTGAAATGGACACTATGTGATAAATTTCATGATTACTTATATGGGAATACGTTTACGGTCTATACTGACAATAACCCTTTAACATATGTAACAACTACAGCTAAGTTGGATGCAACATCGCACCGCTGGTTAGCGTCTCTTTCAAATTACAATTTCAAGTTAGTTTACAAAACTGGCAAATCTAATAGAGATGCTGATGGGTTATCACGGAGACCAACAGAGGTAGAGGTTTTTCCTGATGTTATAAAAGCTTTAACATCTGCACTTTTAGTTGAAAAGGAAGAACTACCTTTAGCTGAATGTTTAGTTATATCACAGAATGCTCAGTTAAAACATGTAGAAATAGAAAGTGAGAATACAGATTTTAGTACCAGTAATATCAATTGGAAAGAGGAACAAGATAAAGATACAGCCATTAATAGAGTAGTTGAGTTAATACACAGTGGATTGAAGCCTACAGGTAAGGACTTACAAAGCGAAAGTCAAGATGTTAAGGAGTATCTTGAAGAGTGGAAGAACTTAGAAATTTGTAAAGGTATACTTTATAGAAACACTATTCAAGATGGAGTAAGTATTAAACAATTAGTCTTACCAGCACAGTATAGAGATGTAGCTTTTAAAGGAATTCATGACAATGCAGGACACCAAGGTAGGGATAAGACACTATGGTTAGCTAAACAAAAATTCTTTTGGAATGGAATAGATAATGATATTAAATCCAGAGTAGAAACTTGTGGAAGGTGTGTAAGAAGAAAAGTTGGTGATACCCCAAGGGCTGATCTTGTTAATATCCAAAGTACTAAACCCTTAGAAATTTTATGTATAGATTTTTTATCTCTTGAAAGAGCAAAGGGTGGATTTGAAAATATACTGGTGATCACAGATCATTTCACTAGATATGCAATGGCTGTGCCAACGAAGAACCAACTTGCTAGAACAACTGCAAAAGTATTATTTGAAAATTTTATATGTCATTATAGTTTTCCTGAAAGATTACATTCAGATCAGGGAAGAAATTTTGAAAGTAAAGTTATTAAAGAACTTTGTAAATTAGCAGGTGTGAGTAAATCACGTACAACACCATATCACCCCATGGGTAATGGTCTAGTTGAACGTTTTAACCAAACTTTACTTAAAATGTTGGGAACTTTAGAAAATTACAAGAAAGATGATTGGAAATCTTATATTTTACCATTGGTTCATGCTTATAATGCAACCAAACAAGACACAACTGGTTTTTCTCCACATTATTTAATGTTTGGTTGGCATCCAAAGTTGGCCATTGATGCATTTTTAAATTTAGATCCTTCAGAAATGTCTGATAAGCCAGTCAGTCATCAAACTTATGTTGACAAATTGAAGAAAAGATTAAACTTTGCTTATAATGTCGCAAGGTCTAATGTTGAAAAAAATACTACAAGACACAAAGAGAACTATGATAATAGAGTCCGATTCTCAAAGTTAGAGATCGGAGACAGGGTTCTAGTTCGTCTTTTAGTAAAGACTGGAAAAAGTAAACTATCTGATAAATGGGAAAAAGATCCATATGTTGTGTTAGATATTCCCAATAGTGACATTCCTGTGTATAAAGTACAGAAGTCATCTGGCAAAGGACCAGTAAGATTACTTCACAGAAACTTACTGTTACCTTTTATGTTCTTGTCAGATGATGACTGTCTTACAAATAATATGACCAAGAAAAGTAAGAAAACTGTTAAACAAAAACATAGCGTGTTTACAGAAAGTGGAACAGATTCTGAATCAAGTTATTCTGAATCAGAGGTGTTACTGGTGACAAAACCAGCGAATACAAATAAGTGTAAAAATGTTCATAACACTTCACGTGTTAACCATAATACTCATCTCAATAGTTCAAATGAACAAATGAGATCAGATGGTTTGACATTTAACACATTTAATATTTCAGATTTTAGTAAACCTATGTCAAGGTTAGAAAATTCTTCTTCCGTTGACCCTGCATATCAAATACAGGACAGTGGTTCTTCTTTTAACACAGTATCGAGTACAAATTTATCCGAAATGCGTGATAATTTGTCGCGAGGTAGTGAATCGAGCCCGTCTACTATTCAACCAAGTATAAGACGTTCCACAAGAGTTAAAAATCCTCCTGATAGATATGGAAATTGGATTGTAGGGGAGCATGATGCTCAAGTATGGTATGTGTAGGAGGAGAGTGTCACAGGATTATTACAGGGATTAGATTTTAGATAGTATATTTCAGATAGTCAGTTGTATATAGTTTTATGACGTAGATATCTAAAGTTGATAGTTTTAAGACGTATGTGATAGTTGATAGTTTTATGACTTACATGATCGCTAGTTGACCTAGATTTTAGGATACTTTATTAATCATGGATTGCTTTTCAGCGTAGCCATTCGTGATTCCAGTTTTATGAAAATAATACATTGATATGAATTGATTGAATGATTTTGTATTTCAGCTTGTGCTAATACAAAATGCTCTCTGTTATAGAGCAGAAGATGTTGCAAAACATTAATTATCAATTATATGTGTGTTGATATTTTTAATATGTAATATTTTTATTTCAGTTGATATATAATTTTTTACAATGTGATTTGATGAAATGTGAGGACACATTTTTCTCAAAGAGGAGGAGAATGTCACAGGGTGAATTATAATTAATTAATTCTACTAATTATCACTCATATCATATTCATACATTTGTCTAAGGCATTATATTATTATAGTAACTAGTGAATTCCGTTCTCACTACGGAATTTACTACGTTCATTCATTGCCTTATTCATTCATTCATTCATTTATACGGGTGAGTGGTCAGTGAGAGTACGGGTGTGTGAGTGGTCAAACTGGTTTTATTCTGTCCCCTGCGCATTCGCGTCAATACTAATTCTCAAGCACTCCAACCTAAGACTTTGGGGAGAGAAGACGCTCTCTCTCCCCAACACAACTTTATCTCACGATAATTGTGAACTTCAGTCTAGGAATTACGGTAAGAAATAGTGGTAAATTATTTCTAAGGATTCAATTATTATTCAATATCTATTTGATCATTTTATTCAAATCGAGTATTTTCTAAATTATCCAAATTTATAAAATTTAAATTATGATCCGCGTAAAAGTGTGAGTGAGGCGAGAGATATTTAATACCTGTTGTTATATTTCAGGTCACCCTTCCTTCTATGTTATAAAATTCCACAATCGTAGAATATATATTATATATAAACATCGAACCCAGCAGTCGTGTTGTGTTGTATTTTACCACATATTTAAGGCTGTGACAATAGCAATAATTTTGCAAAGAAACCCAAGTGTGGATTTTAGTTTTTAGCTCTACTGGTCAGAGACCAGAAGAGCTTATGCGATAGTAAGGTGTCCGTCGTCCGTCCGTCTGTCTGTCTGTCCGTCCGTCTGTAAGCAATTTTTCAAAAAGCTACTCCTCCTACAGTTTTGACCTAATTTCAATATAACTTGTTACATAAGTATACTACACAAAGATACATAATTCTGTGTATCGGTTTTTGATTTCAATGAACGGTGTTTCCACGGTTACTAAAACAGAAATTTCTGTGAAAAACTTTCAAAATGCTACTCCTCCTAC